CGCCGGCTCTCGGCCCGGCAGCGACTCCGCATCGAGAGAGAAGCGTTCGGGCCCCTCTCACCCCTCAGCGCGTGGTGCATGCCGCCAATGCCGCTGTACAGCTCGAGGACCCGCAGGAGCTCCATGCCCGCGCCGCCGTCGGAGCCTCAGAGCTAGGCCTGCCGGTCCCTCCGCCTATCCAAACCCCGTGCGCGCCTCTCCTTACGCCTCTGGTTCCGCGGCTTTTCTGTTCCCCCCAACTCTTAACTGGGAGGCCCAATGCTTTAAGGGGCTGGCAGGGGTCAGAAAAGGGGCAAAGGACAGAAAACAGTAAGGCTTCCCAAGTGAATAGCAGGCACTTAGTCTGATTGATTTTCTGTCGTCTTTGTTTGGTGCTTTTTGGTGGACAGGAGTGGTAAAGAAACCCAGAGCTCAGTTGAGTGAAAACTACCTTCCCTCCAAAGTGAGTCAACACCAATTAGAGTCCAGAAAAAGTCATGTTTCAGGCTAGCTGCTTTTCCAGCCTTTAGACATGTGAAATGTTCAAACATTCCCTCCGCTGGATTGACGGAGATAAATCAGACAGAGAAGGTGGCACAATTACAAATAGTCACAGAGCGGAGCCTGATCATACAGGCAATGCTTGCTGTCATTGTTAATACGGTTAATTATATTTTACATTGGACAATATCCCCACATAGGATATGCTGTTAATATCACGTAAGATTATGTATGGGCCTCCAAGTGCGAAAGCTTTGATTCTCCTGGGCGGTCCAGTGACCAGATTGTTAGAGCACGATTATAAACTAAGTCACACAGAAAAGGGGAAATATTCTCATTGTCAAGAATGCCCTTCTATTTGTTCTCAGTGCTGCCACAGGTTAACCTTTGCTGAGAGGAATTTGGAAGAATCACTTGTAAAAATAACTTTTTTTTTAAAGAGATTGGCAGGCTTGCTAACGTAATACTGTTAACAAGTATTAAATAAAAGTATCACTCTTGTATTCAGATTTTAGAACTGATTAATCCATTCTAATGTGGTGTATGAGATTCACTTTTTAAACTGCAAATGTATGTTGTCCTCAAAGTGTTCTGTTTTTGTGGGTTATTTAAGAGTTATATTAGACCCCAGAGAGCCGAGTGTTAGCCTTGGCGTTGCCAATAACTGGCTGTGTGACTTTGAGATAAACCGAGTCTCCTCAACTGTAAACTAAGGGGAAGGAAGAGGTAGACAGGATTGCTGAGCCTGAGCAATTCCAAATTTTCATGGGTGAGTTAGTATTTGAAACAATGAGTTCTGATTTGGCCCCGTGTTAATTTTCTGATCAAATTAAAATATCTAGAAAGACTTTTTAAAAAATCTGCTTCCAATCAAGTGTACCATTAAACCAATCCAACATATAGAAACCATATAGACTAGCATGTGTGTGTGTGTATGATGAAGCATACTTATTATTAGTGCCATAAATAAATTAGCAGCACATAAAATACAGATACAAATACATAGTCCTAATGATTTATATAGTCAACAACTAATATATGGAACAAATCTCAAAGATCTTGCCCTGTGAGGGAGAGATAGTACATACATACATATATATGTAGCAGCATTGATAAAAAAAAAATACCAACCTAATGAAAAGGGAGAGACCCCAAGTCACAGGAAAGCTAATTACAAACTGTTCACTTTGGTACTTGAGGGTCTTCACAAGTAGTTTAGAACTTACTTTTCTTCCTTTAGTTTTTTTTTTCATTTTTGTTCTGGTATAAACTCCTCAGCAGTTACAAAACACACTGTTCCACTTGTCCCCTTCTTTTCCCTCACTTATGTTGTTCAACTTCCTAAAAGTCTCAGACTTCTTCAAGACATGCATATCACTTGGAACATTCCTTCTAGATGCCCAGGCCTCTCTGGTTCACTGCTGTTTTCTCCGTCTCCTTCATCTGCTGAAACACATATCCTCCTTGTCCCTAACACTCAGTCTTTTGTGTTTCCTTGGCCCAGTTTCCAGCTCTATAAGCCACTGCTCTCTATGTACACTTTCCTCTCTAAAGCTTATTACATGTGATAATCATTTCAAGAAAGAAAAACTTTCTCATAATCATGATTTACAACCATATCCGTGCAAGCATGTATCAATGTTGGGCCCCTTGGATTATGTAGAAACTCTCTCTTCTGATCACTGCTACAAATTGTATAATTGCCCCCAATTATATAGAAAATGCAGGGGGCTAGGTACTGATACCACAATAGAGAGAAGCTGAGCATAGAGGCAGGATGAGCAAGTACAGAAAAGAAAATACATTCTGATTACTTTTTTCTCAAAATGAAATGTTTGTAAGGAAAAAAATCTGCAAAGGCACAGCTTCTCATGAAGTTATCCTCAGTGACTTATCCCAACTGCTTATATTCTAATTAGATAAACTCAGCATACTTTTGGAAAAATATAAACAACTGTCACAACTTGGACTTTAGTGTACTCCGTGCATTTTCTCTTCAAACAGAAAATGTACTTGAAAAAACCCAAATGTTAGCTTCACTTGGAAAGATTAAAGGAAGATTTAAAGCATGTAGGAAATAAGAGCACACCGTACTACCAAGGGATGCATTAAAATTATAATAGCACACTTGATTATTGAAGAGTTCGTTGTGTGCCTTGGAATCCAATGCCATCTCCTTCTTCCTCTCCTGCCTGTCATTAATATCTAACAAAATTAAACAAAGTCTGCCAAATGCTTAAAATAATTTTGGCCGTCACCTTTCAGTTTCCCATGATCTGGTCCGGTCTTTACAACCCATCCAACTGCGATTTGGAGTCCTGTATAGGCTCAGCCACAGGGAGAGACTCAACTGGCTTATACCTATTTGACGAGCAGCCTGCTCTCTGGTTTTACACAGGAAAAGAGGATGGTCTTTAGGAACTGCACGGAAAATGAAAAAGTCATCATATGGAATCAATCAACAGTAAATGTCCTCAGGAGAGGAAATTATAATCAGAAGAAACTTGAATTGGAAAGATTCCTGGAGATTATCTGCCACACACGAGTGCCCACAGCTTGAGATTGCTCTCCATGTTTGCACCCCAGCGTTAAGCCGGTCTTGTGGACTGCTAATGAGGGGCACAGCAGCCTTCACGGAGTGAGCTATCTGATGACACCGAGCTTCAATCATTAAAAACTCTTCGTTATCACCATTCCAATTCCAGGTCCTTTTTTTGGGGGGGGTACTAGGGATCGAACTCGGGACCTCACACTTGCAAGGCAGGCGGCAGAACCACTGAGCTAAACCCTTGGTCCTTCCAGTTCCTTTAGATTACTCCTCTGTACTAACGTTCAAAAACTCCTTCCCTCTTCTATCATGGGTGCTGCTGTGGTTAAGAGTGTAAGCTCAGAAGCCACCGTATAGAGAGGAATCAGACGCCTGCACTTCCTGCCAGGTAACTTGAAAGTCACTTAACCTTCCTAAGTGCACCTCTAAATTATACAAAGAAGAAGACAGGCCAGGCATGGTGATGCATGCCTGTAATCCCAGCACTCGGGAGGCTGAGGCAGGAGGATCGCTGTAAATTTGAGACCAGCCTGGGCTACACTAGGTCAGTCTCAACTACTCAACTACATGGTGAGACCCTGTCTCAACCCCCCCCAAAAAAAAACAAAAGAGAAGGACATGTGATTGCCATGAAGGGTACACGAGGATTAAAAGCAATTAGTCTAATCCCCAACAAAAATAAATGCATGTTCATTAAATAGTATCTATATACTTGCACCCACTATTCTATACGCTGCAGTCTCAGTTACCTGCATTCAACTGGAGTCAGGAAAGAGTGAAGAAGAAATTCTAAAATCAACTCATAAGCTTGAAAGTATTACCATTCTGAGTAAGACCCTGAAGTCTTGTACAAGTCCCACTCCATCTGGCCTTGAGATGAGTCAGTCCTTGCCTGGCATATCCCTGTGACGATGCTGCTTGCGACATTTAGATTATCAGATCTGTTGCAAAAGTTATTGTGGGGCTTGTGACCCTTATTTTACTTAACAGCAGCCCCAAAGCACAAAAGCAGTGATGCTGGCTATTTTATGGCAGTGTATTATTATATTCTCTTATTATTGTTAATCTCTTTCTGTGTGCCATTTTCAAATTAAACTGTCATAGGTATGTATGTTTGCACAGAACAAGTCCATAACAGACTCAGGGTTCAATACTATCTATGGTTTCAAACATCTCCTGCGGTCTTGGTGACTACAGTCATGACAAGAGCTGAGAGCCCGGGATTTAGCTCAGTGGCAATGGACCTGCCTCGCAAGTGCAAGGTCCTGGATTCAATCCCAGGTACCACGGGGGGGGGGGAACCCACAGACAAACAAAGGACAATAGCCGAGTGCTACATTTTCAATCCTTCAAAAGTGTCATCTGGCACAGTCCACTCCAGTGTGGTGATCACCAGGCGCTGAACACAGTCGGACCAGAAATCACGGAGTGCCCCAGAGAGCCACAGACACCTCAGGGCTCTCGGAGAGTGCTTAAGCGGATCTTAGGCTTGACAGGGGGTGAGTGAAGACCGGAACTCTGGAAACCACCGACATGGCTGAGGGAGTACTGAGCTCAAAAACACAGCAGGGTCAAAGACAAAGAGCAGCACCCATAGTAAGAGAGAGAGAGAGAGACTCTCTACTTCCTGATTCACAGATAAACCGATACAGCTGTGAGAGGTAGGCCTGCAGATCTGGCAATCACCAGGGAAAATTGCCACAGTGACTTCATCCGTAATGCAGCATGGGTGGAGACGACCTGGGGGACACATGAGAGGGAACCTAACTCTTTATTGTGTTATTTGTTTACTGATGCTTTATTTAGTGACTTTGGTGCCAGCCCACTGAAGATTTTCAATTACGATTTTTTAAAACTAAAAATCTATCATTTATTTCAGACCATACAATTGCCAATCGTAACATCGTCCATTTCTTAAGCACAGGACTACTTCACTAATTTCATGGGTTATGTAAAACTCTGCTGTACCCTAGGATAGTCACTAGTCACATCTAAGGATTCCGGCTGAAATGAACATGAAAAGCAGTTTGCCATTCCCAGCGGGCCTGTGACAAGTACTCAGCAGTCAAACATGGCCAATGGCCACCCTATGGCTCAGGGCAGGTATAGAGTATTCCCATCACCACAGAAAGTTCTATTGAGCAGAACTTCCCTAGAATGTCTCCAAGCTACTAACTGTGTGGGTAGATCAAGTATCAAGTTGTGCACCAGCTGCCTACTAGTTGCATTTGAACACTGATTCTAAGTAAGTGTCCCAAAAGGATGGAGAAAAAAGGAACTCAAATAAAAGCAAATCTTGCAGCCTAACATCCCATCTCTTTCTCTAGTATCATTACATTACTGACAGATTGTCTCACACACACACACACACACACACACACACACACACACACACACACACAAAACCAAAAGGAAAAAAAAGAAACAGGAAACTGCACATGTGCTCTACTGGTGACATGATAAACCTTTCAGAGAAAAAGAACAGATGGAAAATGAACTTCCTGGTGTCTTTAAAGAGTAGCACTTTTCCACTGTAAAGTATATAGTAGCAACTTCCTACTGTAAATAATGTTACCTCATACATATCTCTGAAGAAAAAGGATGTGTTTTTAAAAGTCAGAATCAAGAGGTAATTCGATAATTTCTACTGAAAACATGGAAGTCATGGGGTTTTCTTGATGGTTTGCCATTTGTATGTAATCAGTCATAGCTTCTCACATTGACTTTCCTCTAAGATGTTATTTCTGAAGCGTTTTAATTGAAAACTGTTTTTGCAGCACAAATTTAAAGCTTGCATTGTTGCCGATAGTGGAATTTTGTCTTTAAAGCTGCTTTCACGAGCTCCCGGCAAGTTAGAGCTAGAAGGAAACTCAAAGACTATTTGGTCCAGGGTTTCCAAACTATTTTCAGAAACAACCTTTTGTCCAAATAAATACTCACATAGAAGCAGTACACAGAGAGACGGAGAAATGGAATGAATGCATGGGTGGTAGTGGGTCCAAACAATTGCAAATCATATCTGCTACCCCCATGCACTCCCATGCCTGCCTCTAAATGACCTTGTGGGGCCTGAATCATAAACCATTGATTTCATCCAACCTGTTTTAGAAATCTACAAAGAGGGTCTAGGGTGTAGCTCAATGGTGCCACGCCTGCCTGTCAAGTGTAAGGTCCTGAGCTCAATCCCCAGTACTGGAAAAGAAAAGAGAGAGACAGAGAGAGAGAGATATCTAAAAAGTTTGCACATCTTGTCTGGTCCCCCAGCTGGATGGAGGATATGGAAGCCCAGCTCAGATTCCTCCAGAGGCCTCTGCTATCTGCATTCGTGTAAAGGCTATACCATAACGTAGGACAGAAAATTAAAAATAAATAAATGAATAAGAGGCTAACTTGCCCAAGGCCTTCTGAACCCTGGCACACAGAACCAAACCCAGCAGCTAAACTGACGTGGACCTAAGAGCAATGATATTTCCTTCTGAAAAACAGCTTGACCTGAGAACTTCTGAGATCTCCGAAGCAAAAAAGAGCCTGTACGACAATATATGGTTGTAAAGGGCAGACAAGAAGAGCAAACATTCCTTCATGCGATTGGGCTAACTACTAATATGTAATGGTTGTGGAAAAGACGGCTTCATAGGGTGGAAGGAACGTGGTCCTTAGGATTGGACTGATTAATACAAATCCTGCCACATACACCCGATTCTTAATGTATGAAATTGACAATGTGTACTAACAGGGTAGTTGTTTACATCGAATTATTAGATATAGGAATAGATAGAGACATACATACAAATAGATAAAAGATGATTGATAGATAATAGATACTAACATACTTAGCGCAAAATAGTGTACTCGTTTCTTTCCACTTTCTGCACAACTTTGTCATAAAGGATAGCCCTTTTCCTGTAATATAAAATTACAGTATATCCAAGTATATTACCAAGACATAAATTTGTATGTTACTAACAAGATCCCTTTCCTTGCAGCTTTTATTACACCCTTCAGATGGGAAAATATCACCCATGATGAGAACAGAGAAAACAGAATTTAATGCCTTTGAGAGATGCTATACTCTGCTCTTTTTCCCTAGTAATTTACCTGAGTATTCAGAACTGCTGGAGGGCACCAAAACATACAACCAGATCCAACGATACCGGGAAAAGGACGTACACGTTCCACAAAATACCACGTTATTCGCGGTCTTTCTAAAAATCACACAGTCATCACACCTGATAAACTACACCTCCAAGTAAAATGATGCACAAGAATTTTTTTTTTATTTTATCCGTGAGCTAGGTACTAGTTAACATGTACAACTGTATCCGTGTGATAGTTACCTGACTGTGTCGACGTGAGTAAGAAGCATCCAACTGAACTGGATCGGCACACTTGTGGGTATAGCGGAAGGGGTTGACTGAAGACAGAAGACCTGCTCTGGGTGTGAGTGGCACCAACCAATAGGTGTGCAGCTTGAATGGACACAATGGAAACTGGCTTCTTTTTCGTCGGAGGAGCTCCAGTCTCCACCCCACCTTGGATGCCATCTCCTTTCTTCTAGAGCAGACCCTTCCGCCTTCCATGCAGACACGTCAGCCTCCTGATGCTGCCTTGCACGGGACACTACAGTGAGCTCCCAGCCTTTCACTGGTTCCTTCGGATCTCCGGCACATAGACAGACAGTCCTGTGGCACTTTTCCGCGTGACTTAGGCACACCTTGTAAATCCATATGCATTGGTGTATCTTGTATTAAATGTGTTTCTCCAGGAAGCACGGACTGATACACTCAGACTCATTCTCATATGACCCAACTGTGTTAAAAATAACCAAAACATAATAACAGTTCTAAAGAATATTCTGTATTCACTCTACACCAGAAGGAAAAAATGCTTTGTATTTATTTTAAAGGTAACCTTATTAGCTTTCCAAGTCACTTCTGTAAGTTGAATACAAACACAGCTTGTCCCCCAAACTTTTCCTTCATCCTTGAAATTCAAAGTTTACAAGGTAAAACTTTTTCCTCCAGGAAGTGTTTCATTTCCATGTAAGGTAATTACTGCCAAGATAAAATATCTAAATTCCCCAAAGGGATCTGTGCTATATTTAATCACTTAAAAATACAGAGGGACTAAAACAGACTGTATTTCAATAGATAGCAAAAGTATGTTTTATTAGTAGGATAGTACCAATCACATGGATCTGTAAGCTTCAAATAATTTTATAAATCTTTAAAATACTTATTGATCAATTTTAGAGCTGTCGGCTTTTCTTTTTTTAATAATTCCATTTCTTACAAAAACAAAACGTAGAAAACTTCCTGTGATTTGTTCAATGTCATTTAAATCAATATTCCCCAAGATAAAAGAGATACATTTACAAAACATCGCCATATTTGTAAAAGAAGAAAAACTAGGAGATAACACCTCCCTCAAGACCTGGAAACTACCAAATAATAAAGAAAAAGGAGTTGGCATGTATCTTGAGGGAAATTTTCATATTAGGAGTTTAGGAAAGAATGTAAGGAATCTGCACGGCAAACTCTTTTTTTACTCCTTTCATTTTAGGGCTGCGTCCTACAGTAGAGTGGGAAACAATACGACAGTGAGCATTATTTACACATTCTTGCAGACCTTATAGTTTTAAAATCCCAAAAGTAATATTGCCAGTGCATGAGATTACTTGTTCCCTATTGGGAGGAGACGTTGTTATTTGGAAAACAAATGTTTGGGTATTACCTGAAGCAAAAGGGGAGTAGAAACAAGACATCAGAAAAGTTCATAACATCAGAAGTGCAATCCAACTGCAAGAGTCTCTCTTTTGACTGCTCTTGTCCTTTTTAATACTAATAAAATACTTATGCTTATTATGCATAATTTTTTAAAATAGAGACATTTTAAAAAGAAAATTAAAACTACAAGCATACCCAGGACTCATCTGTTGATGTTTCTCCCCTTAATTCTTGCATTTTTGCCTTTCTTACTTTATCGTTAATCTTTTACCAAAGTCAGAATCTTGCAGACCTATTTTAAATATGATCCTTATCAGTTCTACATTTCACTAAACATACCAAAGAGACACACGTTTTTAATGTCATCTTTATTTTTTTCTGAATTTTAGAATACATGCCAATTTTGAAAGGTAAAGACAAATACAGAAGTGTAAACAATAAACAGACACATTATTCTGCAAACCTCAATTCTATCCTACTCCCCAAAAGCTAACACTTTTAACAGCTTGCTGAATACCTTTCCTGCTTTTTTCTGTAGTACATAAACAACAATAATTTACTTTTTAATTTTCTCAACACTGAATCTCTCAATATAGAATAGGAAGTTTCAGCTTTGCACCTTACCAAGAACAGTGTAACGGCCATTCTTTGTGTTAACTTTCATGGATCTTTGATATTTTCCTCATATAGACTCTCAAATCACCTATGGGAAGATAGATGATTTATCATTATTACCTATATTCTTAAAACCTGTGACAAGGCTGGGGCTTTAACTCAGTGGCTCCAGAGCCTGCCTCACAAGCACCAGGACCCGAGTTTGATCCCTGATACAACAAAACAAAACAAAACAAAAACCTGTGACCACAACTGACTTCTAGAAAGAATCAAAATCCTGCTAACAGTGCTAGAGGGTGCTCACCTGCTTCATCGTCATGAACAGACACTGTCACATTTTAGCCAAAAAATAGTATGCTATTTTATTTGCCCAATTTTCCATTAATCTCAAGGATACTAATTGCTTATTAATCATCTGTATGTTTTCCTTTGGTAAATTATCTCTGATATATATCCTTTTTCTACTGAACTGACATGTTTCCTAATGAAGTATTACTATTTTATTTGTGCTGTTAATAAGGTCATGTATACTTTTTAATTTCCCAGCTCATCATTTTTCATTTAAATAGACTTGTAAGTGCTTTATGACACAGAAGTGTTTCATTTTCTGAATTCAAATATATGCATGTTTTATTTTTGACCTGTCATATAGCTTTTTTAGTTTAAGAAGTCCTTTACTTAGGAAAAATGAGCTAATTGAACCTCTATGTTATTCTTATTTTTAGTTCTTATATATAATGTAATGCAATTTTTCTAAATATGTTTGATTTGCGATACTTTTTATTAGTACATGTCTGCAGTGCGTGTTTCCCTTCCTTGTGTGGCACTGGTCCCTGTACATAACACATCTTCATTTCTGTTTTCATTCCCTTTCCCTCCCCTCCCTGTCCCTCCCTCCATCTCTTGGTCTCCTTCCCTTTCGAGAAAGATAACACAGTATATCCTTGTTCAGTAGGATGAGCATGGGAACCTGTTATGGCTTCTGTCTAATGTCTAGATGTCCCCGCAAAGCCTCGTGAGCTCATAGGCGGGGCTTTTGGGAGGTGACTGGATCACTGGATTGGTACACTGTTGATTTAGTATAGTTCTGGGTGTGGGTGATGGTTTTGCTGAAGAGAGAAGCCCCATCCTGGTGTGGGTGGCATCAAGCAATAGGCTTGTAGCTTTGATGGAATAAAGGTAGAGAAGAAAGAAAGCTAGGTGCTTCCTGCCTGCTGTGCCATGAACTGTTTCTCTGCCGTGCCACCCTGCCTTGGAACCAGCTGACTACTAACTGAGACCTCTACCAACTGTGAGCTAAAATAAATCTTTCCCGGGCTGGGGATTTAGCTCAGTGGTTCCTTGCCTGCCTGAGTTGGATCCCCAGTACCAAAATAAAATAATAAAATAAATCTTTCCTCTTTTAACTTCTGGGTTTGATATTTCATCCCAGCAATGAGAAAGTAACTAAGACAGACCTATTTCTTTCTTTTGATATGTCTGCTATTTTTTGCTAAAAATTTAACCCAGGTAGTCTGGCTCTTTCCTTTTAAAAAGTAAATGAAATTTAGTCTCCCAGCTCAGAGGATACAAAATATCAGACTTGTTTTCTTTCATATAGTAGACTGCCTGATACATTTTATATATACATATATAAAACATAAGTAGAGCTCCCTCATTTCGTGAGAAAATTGAAACATTCTACTGAAGCAGAATTAGTAGACAAATAAACAGAACTATTTTTTATAATTATAAAAACTGCTGATGTGCATACTTATGTCAAACTCTTGGGTGACATCGTTATGTCAACAATCATGGACTCTATTCAACTAAGACATAAAAAATAAGTATCACAAGAATAATATCTAAAATTGGTCATGTTTGATTTTTTAAAAAATAGCTTTTTTGCACTTAATCTAATTTTATTTCCACAACAATCCTGTGACTAGGTATCAGTAAAGCAATGTCTCTGACAAAGAAACTAAGGTTAAAGATTCTTTTAAATTGTAACTTGTTTAAAATCAAACAACTAATGGGTGACTTCAGACTAAAAGGCAGGCAGAAATTAAATAAGCAATTAATTTTTGTATCAAATTCTAAACACTTGTTTATCATCAATGTTTATATTAATCATTCTTGATATTTATGCTCTGCATTTCCTGGTAATCAAGATGGCTCACAAATTCTCTTATATACACATACCAAACACTTTGCTTCATTCCAATGAGAGAACTCGTAATGAGCAATGCATATGGTTTTCAGACATAGAAACAGATCTCAAGAGACAAGTTGGCCAAGTCACTGGAATATAAGACTCTTACGGGATTTTTATAAACCTAGGTTGAACTTATGTCCTAATATGGAAAGGCATGCCTCTTCTCACTAGAGAGATTATTCTAGAATTTCAAAAACGAACCCATATATTTCATAATAACCCACTCATCTGGATTGCCCCTCTGAGAAAGCAGAGTCATGCAAACGATTAGTCCTATAGTTTAGACTCCAGCCTGTTAAATATTCTTTTTAAAACTCAAATCATGAAAGCATTCTTTTCTATCATTTATTTGTTCTCTCATAATCCAAGACTCACCAGTTTCCCCGTTCTCCAACCACTACGCTATTCACACTCTATGTGGCTGCACACATTAATGATTCACCAGCACAGTGGTTCTCAGAATTGTTTGGAAGACTTGTTACAGCATGGATTGCTGGCCCCACCATCATCTGAGTTTCAGATTCAATTGGTCTGGGGTAGGGACTGACACTTTGAATTTCTAAATCATTCCCAGGTGGCATTGATGCTACTGGTCAGAGTACCACACTTGGAGAACCAAGTGCCCTCTTGGAGAACAAGCTCTCCCCAGAAAACAGCCAGAGGCCAAGGTTCACGCATCCCTAGCACACATGGTGCCCAGTGCCTTGGCCTCACATGGAAGACTTCTATCCAGAGAAGAAAAGAAGCATTTTTCATGACTCATTGCCTTTTTTAAGCTTCTCCAGCCACAAAATTAAGAACAGAAAGAGACTAAATTGAAAGCACAATAAAAACAGCTAAAGTAACACTCTCTTAAATTTCAAGATTTACATCAGGGTTTCTGAAATCAGGACAAAAGGTGCGGCAGGAAGCCAAGTGACTCATTTTGACCACACTGAAAGCTGGTACCACTGAGGCTCCCAGCAAAAACTGGATCCCAGGGTCCAGGGATGTAGCTCAGTTGTGCCACACCTGCCTGGCAAATGCAAGGTCCCAAGTTTGATTCCCAGATGGGGGAAAAAACAACCCAAAACTGGATCCAAACCGGAGTACTCCTGTAGCAATCCTAAGGTAAGGGGAAGTGGGAGGGATAGGAGAAAGGAAAGAAGGGAAAGGAATAAATATGAGAAAAGGAAAAAATAGAAACAAAGTCTTTGTGAATAGGGAGGGGTAGAGGGGTTTAAGGGAGGGCAGGGGAATGGGGAAAAAATATAAGAACCAAGATGGATTATGTGAAGGTCCAAATTCCCAATAATGAATATAAGCATATTGAATACCTACAATGTATCAATCAAATTAATTAAAAAAAAATCTAACACCTAGAAGCCAGCTCGGATCCTTGGCTTCTGGCTCATTTTATCCGTTACTGGTAAATTCTTCTATATCATTCTCCAAGTACATCACTGACCTCTACTTCTTTTCAGTAACTAACTTTTCTAAAACTGCTCTACTACTCTTGACACAGAAAAACAATCAACTGTGAGTAGGTGCTGTTGGCATAGCAAGCAAGTAGGATATCTGGAAAGAGAAATCTGGCAAGGGAGTTTCCTTCTGATTTCTTCATCTTTGTAACTACCAACTCTGGGCAACTTTTTAGAGGAGACTATAATTCCATTTTTCATCTCTTCGAGGCAAAAATAAGGCATTGTATGTGATGATATAAAGCTCCTCAGTATTCTGTTTTAACAATATACGTGTGGCTGGTGCTTTAACACCTTTACATTCAACACAATAAGTGACAATAAATGTTAATACGAGATATAATATTTTTGGTTGGAAAACAAGCTACCATTAACATATTCATGTATTGCAGACATCACCAACCTTTTACACACCACAGGTCCTTTACATTTCGATATATGAGCCAGATAATGAACAACACACAGTTAAGTAGGAAACTTGTGCCCTCAAAATGTAGTTTTCCTGGCTTAATCCAAATGAAATAAAATAGAAGCAAAATGGGAAGGTTACTGAATGCTCAGATTTTGAAATAAGTCATTTTTGTCTGAGGATGAGTCACCAAAACTACTTCCTTAGTGATAAAAGTTGCCTAAGTAACCAGGATGCTTTACCATGCAAAACAGTGCAGGGGCAGTATGTTGGGTTTCAAAGCCACTAGTCATTTCCTTTACTTAATTGCTAACTGCTATTCCCGGCTGCCATTTGGGGACCTGTGTTTTATGCAGTAACCCAGCAACTAGGTATCTCGATATATTTTATCAAGGAGAACAAAACAGTGAACTTTAAATTCCTATGGATCTCAGAGTGAAAAATCAGTGTTCTTTCACCAAGGGGTGAAATTTAGGGGGACATTAGGAAGATATTTACCTAGATCTCAATGTGGCCACAGCATCATGCAAGACATAGACACAAAATTATTCAGCAGAAGAAGAAGCTGATAATGGATCCTCTAAGAATAAGGAAGGTGCTTTCTTCATTTTTGTGTCCTTTGCACCTAGCAGGCAGCCTGGCACACACGAGGACTCAAAATACAAGAGTGGAGCCAGGCGGGGTGGTGTGCAGTCATCATCTTAGCATTCTGGGAGACCGAGGTAGGAGAATCCAAAGTCTGAGCTAAGCCTGGGCAGCTTAGTGACTTCATGAGACCCGATGGCAAAATAAAAATTTGAAAGGTAGGGTAGAAAAGGAAAAAATGGAAGCAAAGTCTCTGTAAATAGGGGAGGGTGGAGGGGGGTGAGGAGAGGGCAGGGGTATGGGGAAAATGGGAGAACCAAGACCTGTCATGTAAAGGTACAAGATGCCAATGAATGTAACTGTACTGTATATTTAAAAAGTACCAATAAACTCAATGAAAAAGAAAAAAAAAAGGTAGGGTAGGGATGTAGCTTCATGTGAGAAAGGCCTTGAGTTCAATTTGTAGTACAAAAACAAAACAAAACAAAAACAAAGGAGGAGAGGGAGGGAAGAAGGGAAGAAGGGAGGAAAAACAGTATTGAGTTATTGACTCTTTTGTTGTGTTTTGTTTTGTTTTTTGAGACAGGGTCTCACTACGTAGTTGAGACTGACCTGGAACTCATTATGTAGCCCAGGCTGGTCTCGAACTCATAGTGATCCTCCTGACTCAGCCTCCTGAGTGCTGGGATTACAGGCGTGTGCCACCATGTCCGGTGTCATTGACTCTTTTTGAGTACCCTATTTATGCAGTAATCGTACCACTACTGCAATTAGGACTTGATCAGGCTTTTCACATTTGGGCACCTGCTTGTCCCTTATATTCACAATGGAACTCTGGCACGTCCTGCTGTTGCCCCTCATGCATGCGAAGTACTACCAGGCAACACTGAAGAAAATACATATATGCTTACAACTTGGGTTAATTTTTGTGTGTGTGCACTGTTAATTTGTTGCTTCAGCAATAGGGTATTTCCATGGAATGTTCATTAACGTCATCCTTATTTTCAAACGAAGCATGTTCATAGTACTTCACATGCAACCTTGGTTGCCTATAACTCCGTGGGCCTCTCCTCCCTCTGCACAAGTATCCCTCATTCAAGGTCGCACAACAGCAGTACTGTCGAGGAAGAAAATGTGAATGTATCTCCCTAAAATTCAACAGACTTAAATACGGGGAGCTGTTCACATTTACAGAATAATATGTTTCAAAAATGTGGCCAGTTTCTGTCTTTTCCACTAGCAAATGTGGCTCAGAATTTTTTGCCGGAGTCAGATGCTATGAGTGTTAAATTCATCCTGAAGGGTTGAGTCAGAAGTAAGAAATGAGATTGCCACAGAAAACCCTAAAAATGTCCATAAATGTCTTGGTGATTCTTCAGGACACCATATTCTTCTCTGAATCAAAAAGAATCCTGTTGGCGCATCAGAAGAGGAAAAGAGAAAAACCCACTGATAGACACCACGATAAGAACGCCAAAGAGACTAGAAGCAAAAGCAACAGTAACACACAATTGCTGTGGTGTGAGCGCTGCTATGCTGCAGTGAGGTTTGGAGCTTGCAGAATGGAACAGAACTCCCTAGCTGGATGTTGGAGCAGGCTCATTATCTTCTCTGTGCCTCAGTTTCTTCATGTGTCAAGTAGGGCAGGTGTGAGAATTAAATAAGTGAACACATGTAAAGTGCTGGTCACATAGGAGACCCTCGATATATGTAAGCAATCACGGTTTCCATTACCTTCCCTGTCTGGGCAGGACTTCAGCTTTCGTAATGATATCATGATACGAAGCCAGTGCAGAATTAGTAGAAGAGAAACTTAGATCCAGACTTGCACACCTCTGCACTGTCTCACACATGGTTCATTATTTTCTTCAGTACTGGATTAAGCCCACGGAGCCCTCACACTGAGCTTTTAAAAAAGTCCCCAGATTTTTTAGACCTTTTAAAGAACCTTTTGGTTTTTTATTTCAAAAATTTTATCTCATTAAGCCACAAAGTTGCCCAGGCTGGGCTCAGACTTTTCATCCTCCTGCCTCAGCGCCTGAAAAAGCTGGGGTTACAGGTGGGCACCACTCTACCTGGTTTAATCTTTTAAAGTTGTAGAGAGGATGCATGAATAAAGTATACTATTTTATCAGCACAACTCTGTAATTTCTGTTACAGGCAACATGCATTTAATCTACATTAAGCTCTAGCTCCATAAGGTCCTTGGTCCTAATTCCTCATATCCATACAAGTCACATTTGAGAGCATTCTTCCCAGCACTTAGCTGATTAAAAACATAAAACCTAACTCAGCACTTTAGAAAACATCATCATAGAATTATGAAGAGGGCCACCATCCCTTATACTGCTACAGTCAACTCAGTATGGTCTTTATTTACTAATAACCTGGAATTTTAATGAATTTTATTTTTCTTTTTGCCTTGCTTCGTTTTATCATTATGATATTTTATATTTCCTTTTATTTGCCACAGTACTTCACTTAGGGATATGTATTTTTGCTATACTTCATTTTTACATTTTCATTTCTAACCTCTACAATACTACAGGACCTTGTTAGTACACTTAGCAGCAAAAGCTTGATAGGGTTTTTATAAACTCTAAGCGCATGAGACACAATCACAAGTAAATGTGACATCTAATATTCTGAAGGAAAACATCTGAATGAATGTAATGTTTCAGAGTTAAAGCATCTACTGATTGTCTACGCATAGAAAAACTGGTCAAATCATCAATCAGTTTTGAGACAAAGAGGATGGAGTTCTTATGCTTTTCCTGATTATACAGGAAAGAGTTTATAATTATATAGATAACTGATGATTCTCTTCCAACTCCTCAGGTTACCCTAGAGATAAATCATAAATTACTTTTTAAAAAATTTTAGTTCTGTAAAAGAAAACTATGCTGTTACACAAAGCTTTTCTCCTTATTAGATGCCTTGCCTAAATACTTGCAGAAAAAAAAAGTTTCCTCCACTTGGGAACTATGTAACCTCAAGATAAGCAGAATGAATTCCCAGGATGCCAATGCACATGGCAGATTTTCTCACCATAGAAGGACCTTTATGCCTATCATAAAAATGTGACTGAGACCAACATTATAAACCACTGGGCAATCACCTGCCAGTTTCCTTATGGTAGTGTCAGTCAATACATGCGCTTTGACCATAGGATTTAGTTTCCTTTTTGTAAGTAGCATGGTGGAGCTTTTAGGTTGCTTTGATTTCTCTTTTTCTTTTTTTTTTACATCAATTTAATCAATTTTGAAAGTCTAGCTTCACTTCTTTTCAAACATTAGCTGGACCTTTTTTGGCACTACGTGTCTGCTCTGTGTGTTACTTGACATCTTTTTTCTCCATACCATCCTTTTCCCATTATAGACTGTGAATCAGACTTTTATAATGTTACAAATTATATATAGTTCTAAAGGAAATTATCGCCTGTTTTTATTTGTCCTCAAATGTTCAAAGGCATCTCGGTGGGGGGTGCGGGCTTTAAGTTTCTTTTTCTTCTGCTTTTTAAAGAACTGCTTTAGAGAACACTGAGAAAGCATTTGATTTCATATGGGGTGTGGAGACCAAGCTACCATGCTCAAAGCAGCTAAAGAATAATATGAAATAGTGTGAATGACTCATTTTTTTCCTCATTGAGTTTATTGGTACATGTTAGGTATACAGTACAGTTACATTCATTATTGGGATCTTGTACCTCTACATGACAGGTCTTGGTTCTCATTTTTTCCCCTTATCCCTGCCCTCCCTTCACCCTCCTCCCCTCCCTTTTACAAACACTTCATTTCTATTTTTTCATTTTCTCATATTTTTTCTTTTCCCTTATTAGCTTTCCCCTACACTTTTCACTTTCCCTACATCTTTAGCCCCTTTCTTCCTATTTCACATTGTCCATTATATCATTAGGATCTAAGAATCAATCTAACAAAAGAAGCAAAAGACCTTTACACTGAAAACTACAGCATTCTGAAAAAAGAGATCGAAGAGGATATAAGAAAATGGAAAGATATCCCCTGCTCCTGGGTAGGAAGAATCAACATAGTGAAAATGGCCATATTACCAAAACTGCTATACAGATTCAATGCAGTGCCAATTGAAATTCCAACACTATATTTCACAGAACTAGAAAAAAGAATCCAAAAATTCATTTGGAATCATAGCAAAAGTCATCCTGGCAACAGACACATGGCAGTAGGTATAACAATTCCCAACCTGAAACTATACTACAAAGCCACTGTGATAAATACAGCATGGTCCTGGCAAAGAAACAGATCTGAGGATCAGTGGAACACATTGGAAGACACAAAAACAAATCCAGATGTACTCAGCTGTGTCATCTTTGACAAAGGAGCTGCCCATCCTCAGTGGAGGAAAGATAGCCTCTTTAATAAATGGTGTTGGAAAAACTGGATCTCAACCCGCCAAAGATTAAAACTAGACCCTTATCTTTTACCATGCACAAAATTAAAATCTAAGCAGGTTAAAGATCTAAATATTAAAACAGAAACACTAAACTTGCTGGAAGATAAGTTAGGCAGAACTCTGGAAGACATTGGCATAGGAAAAGACTTTATGACCAAATCCTCAGTAGCACGGGAACTGGCAGAAAGAATCAACAACTGGGATCTCCTCTTATTAAAAAGCTTCTGCACTGCAAAGGTGAATGATTCTTTTAAGTGAAAGGGTGTGGTGAAATGCTGCAGAATGTAAAAACACGTGCTCTACGTCCTCGGCCATGCGCCAGAGCTCCCCACAACACAGCTACAAGCGCGTCTTTCTCCTCATCAAAAATCGCAGTGAATGTCCACTGCCCACTACATTAATTACCAACTCCTCTCCCTGGCATTTAGTCCTCCAACGCATGGTCCCATGTTAGCTTTCAGTACCCTTTCTCCCTTACAACTCTCCTCTAGCCACTGGAGATGGAATTGTGAACAAAAGAGAACAATCCCTGTTCTCTTAGAGCTTACATCCTAGTGAAGGGATGTGTAATTCCCCTTTAGGTCATCGGGGAGTCTTAAGGAAGTCTTTAAGAAAAAGGGGTTATAGCACAAAGACCGATGCACTGGAGGGAGAAAGGAAAGGCTAGGAAGGGGAAGCCAACTGAAGTACTGGAGGAATGAAACAACCTAAAGGTGAGAGACAAACACAACAAAACAAGTGGGGAAAAAATGGCCGGGGAACACGTACCCATTGGACCTGAGTGATCCGAGAGTAAGGAAGTGGTAGATGATGAAAGTTTCCAATCTTGCTGTTTTTCTGTGTTGCTCCAAATAGGGAAGCTGGAAGGAGGAGCTGCTGTGATTGGTGGGTTTCACTGCATGTAATGCATCAGGTCCAATTTTGGGGGATACCTCTGAAGAGCTGGAACAAAGAGTAGGTGAAAACATTTAACTCATAATCCATATGAAAGTATGGATTTAGCATGGAGGTGAAAATGAATCTCCCTGCTTATTTGTGAATCCCTCTTCCATCATTTAAACAACATAAAACATATTACATGTGTCTCCCAAAGTCCTTAGAAATCTGTTCCTTCACAGCAAGATATATTCTATGCATCCTATCTTCTAGTTTCTATAGCACTGTGTGCACCTACATATTACTTGTGAATTGAATTGGTTGTTAGTGAGTAAGCTCTCACCAGCAAGGCAAAGACAAAAGTACACTTGGAATCAGGAAGACCTTGATTCAAGTTCTTGCCCCTCCTTACTTCTCCCACTAGTTCTGCAGTGAGAAAATTGTCACAAGTCCTAGACACTATCTGTGTGAAATGAATAATCAAGTCTATCTTGAAGGATACTGTGAGAGCATTCACTTAAAAGCATGCCCAATGTGCATCATCTGTTAGGCACAAAAATGAAAGCACTTGCAAAACTGGAGATTAGGGCACGGCAGACTGGCTGGGTGTGATCAGTTAATTACAAAATCCAATGTCATGTGTGTGCAGAACGGTTTCCAAAGCCCCATACATGGAAGCAGAAAGTGCCAGCTAGCTTTGATTCTACTCAGGAGAACTGGAACAAGTTTTGGATAGGACAACCAAGACCTGACACGAGACTGGGGAGTGGAGATACAAAAAGACTGTTGCCAGTGAGGTCTCCACTACTGTGTTCTCTTTCACAGCAGTCTGCTCGCCAGCTGGAGAGTGTATTTTTTCCTACTTGGACTTGGCCCAAACTTCCTCTGTTTCATTTCCTACCTTTACGAAACATAAAACTTTGCACCCTTTTATGCTCATTTTGTCCAATTCTTTGTTCAAGACAAGAACCTAGAAACCACCCCTGGAAGGACACGCCAGAACTCCAGAACCCAGCAATACTTGTGTCATTTACTATTAACATTTTTACCATGCCTCCCTGTTAGGTTTTGCCACAGTTTTAATTCTCTCATTTTGTAAGTACAATTTCTAACTGATACACAAGCCTACAGAGTACTGTCCATATTTCCACCTCCTCCTTTTATTCATCTTCTCATTTCTAACATTCCAGCCTGACAGATCTGCTAGTGGCCGGCCTCTTGACATGGTCCCCGGACAGCCAGCTCTCCCTGAGCCTTCATAGACCACTAAGCTCCCGTCCATACGGCTGACTGGCCTGTCAGATCATGTCACCCAATTCAACTGATATTACCACAGCTTGCAAATTCCAAAATCACTGCTAGTACTTCAGATGTGGGAGTGCTCACTCCTAGCTACAAATCACAGGGCAGTGTGCTTATTTATATACAAGTTGCATCACGCAGAGTCCAGCATTTAAAAATACTTCTGAGATAGGTTTTCACAGCCATCAAAAAATAAATATGAAAACCAAGAAAGTAATTTACTTGTGTACTGTTTACTTTCAAAAGCACATAGGGAGCATAGGATGAGTTAGTGTTCTCAAGGGTATTCCTGGAGATTTCTTCCCTCAGGCCTTTGACCCCGTGGGTGAGTCACTGTACCAGGCACTGTGTTATTTATCTCAGAGTGAAATGAATTATTTCCAAAATCTTATGCATTCTACAGGAGTAAAAGTGCTTTTGTAGCTTTTAATTCTCTGCGCTCCTTCGGGAACTGTTTCAACTTAACAGAAAGGACATACTAGATATTGCACATGGACACACACACACATGAACACACGTGCACTTGCGTCTATTTTACATATATATTTTTATACATCAGCTATGGCAAGAAAGCAGCCAGCCAGCCAGCCACAGCAGTGAGGTACGGAATAGGGACAGTTCAGGAAGAAGGGATACCTCTGATGACCCAAAGGGCAAGCACCCATCCCAGAAGTCAGCAGAGCCCCGAGGAATTCACTGTTGGGTGCCAATAGGGCGGGCTGCCACGCCACACCAGAGCCTGGCCCTCCTTTTCCGCAATGAGTCAGGCAGCAAGGGGCCTTGACAGCAGCCCTGGGATCAACATTCCATGTGGGAGGAAGGCATACCCTCCCTTCCCCCCCAGGGAAATCGCTTTTCTCGTCCTAAGGGTTCCAGGAAAACTCACAATGGTGACATTTGCCCAGCAGTGGCTAGAATAAAGGGCTCTCAGTAAGCAGCGTGGTAACGTGAGGCATGAGGCTAGCCGGGGAATACTCTGGGGAAAGACTCCCAGCCTTGCAGTGGATGAGAGAAAAAAGAAAGCCACAGCAGGAGAGCTGGGGCCCTTAGGGTCCCGCAGCTCGACCTTGGCAGCGCCCTTTGCCAGAACCAACAGAGATGAGGTAAACAAAATATTGGCTAAAAGAGACTGGTACAAAGAAAAGAAAGCAAATCCTTTATTTGACTCTAAACTATTTTTTCTTAAACGCCAGGTAATCTCCGGTCTCTAGCCCTACCCCCCACCCCCACGTCTTCACTTATATATATTTTTGTAGAATCAGTTTACAGTGGCATGTAGTTAATCTCTTCCACACTCCGTAAGTCTGAGTACTCAAAAAGCCCGAGGTTTTTCAACCGCTGCTTAGTCACCAAGAGGTCTTTCTTCCGAGCCCAGCAGACACTTGGTTCTGCTCGCTACTAATATTGAAACAACAGCTCTTGCGTTGAGTGATTTCCCTAGAAAGATGAAGGTGACCAAAGCTGGACCTCTTGCGTGTTCTGCACCCCGGTCTGTGGGCAGTTTTATCTCCAGATCTCTCAAGACCAAGTCCATGAATTCTTGTGCAAAACAGGGCTTGTGTGAGATTGTCAGGACAGAAGAATCCTGCACTGCCCTGAAATGAACGTACAAAGCCATTTCCCCCAAACATTTCAACATTTGAGTTATACAACTGCCTTTCATTCGAACTCATTAATCAAATTGGGCTTCTCAGACAACACCTAATTAATTCTTTAATTGGCTCAGATTATACCTTTAATGACATCCACGAGCAAAAAAAAGAGGAAAAAAAAAAGCTTGCGATCATTGAATTTGATTTTAAACTAGGGACACCGAGTTTCCTCTTTCACCCAGAACTTTCAGATCGTGTTCAGTGTCGGGTGTGGCTCCGTGGGGGAAGGGGAAGCGCAGGAGGAGGAGACCGACGAGAAGGGGGAAGGGAACTTTTGCAAGAAAAGCCTCCCCAAGTGCATTCGTGATCCCACAGACCTGCAGTTGGCGGCTCTCCAAGATCTGCAGAAGTTTCTTTTCTGCTAAGGAAAAGTTCAGGCCTTGGAACGATGCCAGGCTTTGGTGCGTTCTGAAGAACCTAGGGACGCTCTCGGCTCACTAAGAACCGATCGCTCGGATCAAAGCGGGGACCAGGCCCTGAGTTGGTAAAACTCAGAGCGACCCACGCGCGCGCGCGCGGGGCCCAGCGGATCGGGCTAACGGTTTCCCCCGAACCGCTAGAAGCCCTCCGGCAGCCGTGACTCACGGCCAGTGACTCAGCGACCCCACCCTCTCCCCTGGGTTTTCCCGGGCCGCAGTCTCGCAGCTCCGGCCGTGTGAGGCTGGACTGTTCCCGCTAGGTCCCGAATACAGCACCCCAAGACAAGAGGATGGAAAAGGCTCGGCTACTGCAGCCCCGTTCCCTAAGGGCCCTGTGCGCCTCAGTCCCGCGCTCCGACCCCTGGCTCCCTTTGTCTCTTTCTCCGCGCGCTCGGATCTCCTGGACCCCTCACCCCGCCTTCTTCCTGCTCCGCGCTCGTCTCCCCACCCACCCACTCCGCCGTCCTCCCACGCGCGCTCCTCCGTCCACGCCCCCTTGGTGCCGTGCCAGGGACACCTGGGGTCCATTTTGCTGCGCTTCAGCGCACGGGAACCCGCTTTATTCTGCGCCTCGGGGTGAGCAGAACTCAGGCAGCATCAGCAAGGTCCCTGAAAGTTCCCTGAAAGTTCCAGCCCCGCCGAGGAAGTAACGGGCCGCGCCC